TATTTAACAATTAGACCTCGAGGTCGAGTGGACTACGAGCTAATAGCCCATGAGGCCGAGTCCGCGAGGCCGAATGGGCTATTAGCTCGTAGTCCACGAGGCCGAGAGGTCTAATTGTTTTAGTATAAACATACTAATCGGTCAAATAATGAAAACAAATTGAAATATCCTTAAAATAATTTATTAATGAGATGCCGCCATTTTGATTTTCCCACGAGTGGTCTATCACAAATTAGACCATTAGTAGAGTAGCCAATCACAGCGCAGTATGAGTGATAGACCATTAGTATGTTTATACTATATGACTATTGTGTCCTCGATCAAATCACACCAGACAAACAGTAGTCTTCATGGGCTTCACATATCGCATTTATTACTATATATATAATTCGATCTACAAATACAAATGATTATGCTTACTTGTTATCCTTAACGCTTATAAATGAATATCAGTTAAAGTACTTACATTGTTTGAGATTCCATAAAACTACTGTTCASTACATCTTGAAGCGCGTTACACGTGTGATCAACTAACTACATGTGACTCATTGAAATTTGATATCTAGAATGCTTACGTAATCAATTTGTCAATCATTTTTAACTTCTGTACAAACAAAACTTAATTATTACAATAATGTCCACAAAACAACTATATCTTCGCCGTCGTAATTTCCGTACAAATCTTATATGGGTTTTCCATTCTCGTACCCAGAACCTTTTCATGCCACGCATTCTAACTGACCGCCATGCGATTGCCCTGAAAGCTTTTCTCACAACGTTTTTGCGTATTCCAGACCATGCAAGCTACACAAGTATAAACGAACAAGAAGCAAATGCTTTGCTAGGTAAATATTCACTTGAAGAAACAGAGTTCAACTGCTTGAAAGAAGATCTCAAAAGATTCTTGGAAAGGACATAATTTGACTAATGATTTAAAAAAATAAAAGGCTATATATATGTATAATTATAAAATTTTTGATATATAACGCGCGCTCTGATTGGCTGACGACCGTGTTTATATCAGAGGACAGAGACACGGCTTACCGGCAAAATTTGTTTTTCGCTCGAAAAACGCAGAAAAATTTATAAAATGAATATAAATTTAAAGGTTTTATATAAAATGGAGAATGTTTGCAACTGAAGAAGCCGTCGACTAATCAAATAAAGAATACAAAA